AGCATTATGAAACGCGGTTATTGCCGGATATGCACGACATGGCAGGGTGAGAGAGACATTTGAAAATCGCCGCCGGTGATGAAAAAAATCATTCGCGAGGGCGCGGGTGGAGAGGCAGGTAATGATGGTCACAGTTCTAAACAGGTCTGGCAAAGCTTCTCCAGATGCATCACTAGGTTTCGATAATGAGCAAAGTCTGATGGATGTCATTAAACAACGTACCGTAGCTCTGAGGAAATTGTCGACTGTAAATAATGTTTTGGGGTCGCGGTCGCGGGTGGGTTCTTGATCAGTAATGATGTCAAAGGTGGAATGACAACACGTACTACTGGAGACACGTCCTACGACAGTCGTGATTCTCTTGTTGATGGTACGCGCTGAATTTGCAGGCCGGACTATGGCAGTCAATCTCAAGGGTGCGGATCAGCCACTCGGCCATGCAGTAGGTAGGGACAGGGTCAGAAAGAATCTGTGCCTCTCACCATCTCCTCGGAGTCATATTCATGTCCACATATCTGGTAGATTCTATGGACTCTTCTAAATATGCACATTGTAATAAACGATTTGTCGTCGGGCGGTGGGTTTCGGGACGCGAATACTGTGAAATCGGCAAATCGGTGGCCGGAGAGCAAAAGCAAGATGGCAAGAGAAAACTGCGCAATTGCGGGAGATATATATACGAGAGACGCGAGGCAGATAGGTGGGAGATGGACACCAAAGCTTCGAGAAATTATGGCACAAGACAACAACGTCGGAGAAGGCAAACCGCGACGCGCGAGTCGTATCGATCCGACGACGGGAGACGGGGAGGAGAAGTGAAGGGCTTGCGCGATCACGTTAGAGCAGCGAGCTAGTATATATACGTAGTCCTGGCGGTGGTTAGGCACCAAAATAGAGGGAGGAAAAAAGAAGCGTCCACCGATCGAGAAGCCCCCTGTGTGTGCGTTTGAAAAAAAGACTGTCTATGAATATAAATGAAGCGTGCATCCTCGAGAGAGAATTGTATGTTACCAAACGGGGATAACATATCGGAACTGTCCAAAATTCTTTTGAATGCAAGGCATAGAATCCCAGAAAATAAATGTAGGAAATAGCCTCGTTTGACAGCATCTTTGGACAGTTATTCGAGTTTCAATGTGTCCACTTCGGCGTATCCTGGAAGGAGGCCCTGTGACACGATAGCAGGGAGAGAACCAGGCCAGAGCTCGATAACGGCGGGGAGAAAGAGGAGAGAGAAACGCTCGCTCCTGAGTCGGCCCTGCGCAGTTCCTGGCCTTGGAGATGACAACGAATCTATGATAGTGTCGAGTACAAACGTGTAACTCTCGAACCTGGACATGTATAGTGTTCATAATCCCTGAGAATCACTTGTGAAGCCTGGATCGATTGGATCTATAGGAGGGCGAGCCATTACGTAGGAACGCGAGAGTGGCGGGTGGAATCTGGTTCATATCTCCTTTTGGTTGGGCTCCTTGATTTTGCATTCATTATTAGGTGGCAGTATAATGACGCCCTGGTCTATGGCCAATAGCTGAAGGCGAGTAATTATGGCCGTCAACAAGGCGATTGGAAAAAAGGGGAAAGAAACAAAAAGCCTCCCTCCACCTGAGCGCTTTGCTTCACATTCCCACCTGCATTCATTGCAGCCTCAAAACTTCAGTCAATGCGAAGATAATTAGCGGGTAAAACGGGCATCATTATAACGAATCATTTCACAATCAAAAGTCAAACCCCGCGGGGGGCGCGCGTTATTATCCATCAAGAAGGAGAAGACCCCCTCTAAATACGCTGCCTCCCCGCCCCCTAAACTGAAAAGTATCCTCGAACCAATCGGACGAGTATACCGGATATTGGCACATAGCATCCAGGAATGGATCCAGCCGCCCGTTCCCGTTTCAGACTCCCTCTCGGTTTTCTCTTCCGACCCACAGGGGCAAACCAAAGGCCAAGGTGTGATGAGGTATACCCGAACGAAGGACAGCTAGCACGCTGGCCTCTCGCGTAACAAAACAGGGGGAGGTGAGATGCCAAATGCACTCTGCTCAAAGCAAACTCCCGACAGACGGCTTCCCCCTTTGCGCTGTCTGTCGGTCACCCTCTCAAAACTACTATTACCCCCGAACACATTGTCCAGGAAGAGGTAACAGCCTCCTGGAACGCTCATTTTCGTCCAACCGGTACCAGACATTTGCGTTGATGTTTTCACAAGGACAAGGGAATGTCCAGGCCCACCCTGCCTCGATCACGAAACAGCGAAT